GTGGATTCAAACATCTCCCTCCCTCCTCCTCCCCCACTTCCTTCTTCTGCACTCACTCCACCCCCAAACCCTGCCCATAATATATTTGTAAAAATTGGCCTCTCACTCAAAAAAAAATCCGGATTGAACACAAACAAAGCCAAATTTCAAGTGAGAGGCAAAATGGCAGCCGATAGAAATGTGACGTCACCAGTCTACCTCTCCAAAGTCCCGCTATGAAGATTGAGAGGTGGATATAGGTCAGTCACATAACTGCATCCACTGCCCACGGCAGCTACAGGTCAAGTCTTTGTGTCCAGCATCTAAACAACCACGTGGTTGGCGGGTGCTCTGTTGTGGATTCTTATTTCTTTTGTTTAAAAATCAAACTTCTATCATACTCAACTCTCATCCTTCTTTCCTTCGTATGTTAAACTCTAGTAAGTAAAATCTCTAACCTTGGCGACTTATATGACCTATTTGTGTTGCATGTTCCGTAAAACTCTTACTAAAACTAAAAAGGACACGGGTAGGTATCCGAACCGGCAATTCGACACAGGATGGGCACAGGTACATAAGCCCCGCCCTCCACAGCGGGTTATCCAATCACTACGCACACTGCACACGGCGTGCCTCGTGTCATAGCAGCAAGAAAGAGCCCAAGAAGCCATTTTCTAACGTTTCTGTTGAAAATAATCTTCGCTTGTAGGGGATATTCGTTTGAATGTGCACTTCTGAATAATTCTTATGTGCATTTGAATATTTCTTGTGTTCATTGGAATAGTTTGGAACATTTTCTGTGTGGAAAAAAGTGTGATCTTTGAACTGTGAACTGCAAGACACTTGTTTCACAACTTGTTTGTTGATATCCACTCTCCGGGTATCGATTTCAGATTGGTAAACCTAATTTCTTTTTAAAAGAAAGGATCTCACACATCGCAGGATGGTTTCGGTAAGTACAGTATAAATTTAATAAGGTTTCTTCTTCTTCTTCTTCTTCTTCTTCTTCTTCTTCTTCTTCTTCTTCTTCTTGAAACGAACGTTTAGTAGTTTTCTTCCGATGGTGACGTTTAAATTTCATTTTTTAAAAAGAAAATGGCGACAGCCGGCAGCCTTAAAGACCACGAACTTTCCGTTGTGTCCTTTTTGGACCAACAGGACAAATACATCTCTACCACTACCAGACTGTTAACAAGTTTGGTCAATGAAAAACTTTTCACTCCTTCTAAAACATAAACTTTTTAGTTCGTTGGTTTGTACGTTTAATTGTTTTGAGAACAGAATGATGCATGGATAGGGTGATGATCGTTTATTCCGGGGACGGGGGAGGATAAGACTATGCGGACAGAAATAAGATGAATATTGTGAGAGAGAGAGAGAGAGAGAGAGAGAGAGAGAGAGAGAGAGAGAGAGAGAGAAGAAGAAGAAAAAGAAGGAGAAAAAAGAAGAAGAAGAAGAAGAAAAAGGAGGAGAAGAAGAAGAAGAGGAATGACCTGCTTGTGGGGGATTTTGACACTCACACCATAATAACCAACAACAACAATGAAATAAACAATAAATGCTAGAAACAATACTTCAACTCACTCAAAATGCACCCCTCCCAAAAAAACAACACAAAGCAAAACCCAAACCCCCGAACAAACAAAGCAACAACAAAACAGCAAAGCCAACATTGACCTCTAACTCTGAAATAATCCCGATTTGAACAACTTCAAGCGAGAGGCAAAATGACAGCCGATAGAAATGTTACGCCACCAGTCTACCTCTCCAAAGTCCCGCTATGAAGATTGAGAGGTGGATATAGGTCAGTCACATAACTGCATCCACTGCCCACGGCAGCTACAGGTCAAGCCTTTGTGTCCAGCTTCTAAACAACCATGTGGTTGGCGGGTGCTCTGTTGTGGATTCTTATTTCTTTTGTTTAAAAATCAAACTTCTATCATACTCAATTCTCGTCCTTCTTTCCTTCGTATGTTAAACTCTAGTAAGTAAAATTTCTAGCCTTGGCCACTTATATAACTATTTGTGTTGCATGTTCCGTAAAACTCTTACTAAAACTAAACAGAACCGGCAATTCGACACGGGATGGGCACATGCACATAAGCCCCGCCCTCCACAGCGGGTTATCCAATCACTACGCACACTGCACACGGCGTGCCTCGTGTCATAGCAGCAAGAAAGAGCCCAAGAAGCCATTTTCTAACGTTTCTGTTGAAAATAATCTTCGCTTGTAGGGAATATTCGTTTGAATGTGCACTTCTGAATAATTCTTATGTGCATTTGAATATTTCTTGTGTTCATTGGAATAGTTTGGAACATTTTCTGTGTGGGAAAAAAGTGTGATCTTTGAACTGTGAACTGCAAGACACTTGTTTCACAACTTGTTTGTTGATATCCACTCTCCGGGTATCGATTTCAGATTGGTAAACCTAATTTCTTTTTAAAAGAAAGGATCTCACACATCGCAGGATGGTTTCGGTAAGTACAGTATAAATTTAATAAGGTTTCTTCTTCTTCTTCTTCTTCTTCTTCTTCTTCTTCTTCTTCTTCTTCTTCTTGGTCTAAGACTAAAACTTGTTAGTTAGTAAGTTGATACGTTTGTTTGTTTGTTTGAGTACATAAATCCACATGGCCAGAGTGATGGTCGTTAAGTACGACACAATACAGATAGAAAATTAAATATAAAATCAATAATACATGCACGCACACACCAAAAGAAAGAGATAGAGAGAGAGAGAGAGAGAGAGTTAAAGAAAGAGAGTGAGCGAAGAATGACCTACCGGAGAGGCCACCACCACAACCACCATCTCCACCAACAAAAACAACAATGTTAGAAAAAAGCAGCAAAAAATACAACTCTCTCCTAAAAAAAGATCCCCCCCTCCCCCCGAAAAAATAACAACTAACACCACCCACCAAAAAACAAAACAGAAACAAAACAAAAACAAACCACAACGAAATGCAACAAAACAGAAAAATCAGCATTGGTCTTTGGCTGAAAAAAAAATCCCGATTTAAACACAAACAAAGTCAAATTTCAAGTAAGAGACAAAATGGCCGCTGAAAGAAAGGTGACGTTATAGTCTACCTATTCAGAGTCCCTCAATGAAGATTGACAGGTGGACAAAGGCCAGTCACATGACTCCACTCTCTTGTCCCGCTACTACTGGTCAAGCCTTTGTGTCCAGCCCCTAAACAACCACGTGGTTGACGGGTGCTCTGTTGTGGTTTGTTCTTTCTTTCGTATCAAACTTCTATCGTCTTATCTCTCCTTCTCCTTTCTCTTGTCACTAAAACCTATACCCTTCGGCTTTATATGACGTATGTATGTTGCATGTTCACATGTAGGTTTCAAGCCATCCCATGCGGTTATTTGACCCAGGATGGATACCTGCACATGAACCGCGCCCTCCACCACGGTTTATCCAAACATAACGCGCAAAACACATGTACACCTCGTGTCATGAATATGAAAATGGATAGCTTCTTCTTCTTCTTCTTCTTCTTCTTCTTCTTCTTCTTCTTCTTCTTCTTCTTGAAACGAACGTTTAATAGTCTTCTTCCGATGGTGACGTTTAAATTTCATTTTTTAAAAAGAAAATGGCGACAGCTGCAGCCTTAAAGACCACGAACTTTCCGTTGTGTCCTTTTCGGACCAAGGGGAGACTGTTAACAAGTTTGGTCAATGAAAAATTTTTCACTCCTTCTAAAACAAACTTTTTAGTTAGTTGGTTTGTACGTTTAATTGTTTTGAGTACAGAAAAGATACATGGATAGGGTGATGAGCGTTTATTCCGGGGACGGGGGAGGATAAGACCATGCGGACAGAAATAAGATGAATATTATGAGCGAGAGAGAGAGAGAGAGAGAGAGAGAGAGAGAGAGAGAGAGAGAGAGAGAGAAGAAGAAAAAGAAGAAGAAGAAGAAGAAGAAAAAGGAGGAGAAGAAGAAGAAGAAAGAAGAAGAGGAATGACCTGCTTGTGGGGGATTTTGACACTCACACCATAATAACAAACAACAACAATGAAATAAACAATAAATGCTAGAAAAAATACTTCAACTCACTCAAAATGCACCCCCCAAAAAAAACAAAAACAAACAAAGCAAAACCCAAACCCCAAACAAACAAAGCAACAACAAAACAGCAAAGCCAACATTGCCCTCTAACTCTGAAATAATCACGATTTGAACAACTTCAAGCAAGGGGCAAAATGGCAGCGATAGAAATGTGACGCCACCAGTCTACCTCTCCAAAGTCCCGCTATGAAGATTGAGAGGTGGATATAGGTCAGTCACATAACTGCATCCACTGCCCACGGCAGCTACAGGTCAAGCCTTTGTGTCCAGCTTCTAAACAACCATGTGGTTGGCGGGTGCTCTGTTGTGGATTCTTATTTCTTTTGTTTAAAAATCAAACTTCTATCATACTCAATTCTCGTCCTTCTTTCCTTCGTATGTTAAACTCTAGTAGGTAAAATTTCTAACCTTGGCCACTTATATAACTATTTGTGTTGCATGTTCCGTAAAACTCTTACTAAAACTAAACAGAACCGGCAATTCGACACGGGATGGGCACATGCACATAAGCCCCGCCCTCCACAGCGGGTTATCCAATCACTACGCACACTGCACACGGCGGGCCTCGTGTCATAGCAGCAAGAAAGAGCCCAAGAAGCCATTTTCTAACGTTTCTGTTGAAAATAATCTTCGCTTGTAGGGAATATTCGTTTGAATGTGCACTTCTGAATAATTCTTATGTGCATTTGAATATTTCTTGTGTTCATTGGAAGAGTTTGGAACATTTTCTGTGTGGGGAAAAAGTGTGATCTTTGGTCTCCTTAAACAAGGGAAACCTGTATTGAACTGTGCGCTGCAAGACGTTTGTTATACAACTTGTTTGTTAAATCTTGATGTCTGCTCTCTTGTTGACCAATTCTGCTTGGTAAACCTGATTTCTTTCAAAATACAAACAATTGTCTGAATTGTATCACATTACTAAGTTGTCCAAATCAAGAAAACGTATTCCAAGTGTTGGACAAAGAGAGTATGTCACACATCACATGATGTCTAACGTGAGTATATTATTATGAGGAATGAGAAAAAATATCATCTTCTTCTTCTTCTTCATTCACCACTATTTTTTCTGCTTGGATGTTGTTGTTTTTAAAAAAGGAAGTGTGTATGCTATGCTCGTCAAGATGACTTGTTACACTGCGGTGTAGTCGCTTGTTCAACATAATAATGACGTCAAGTGCACGTTTCTCAGTCTTCTTCCGATGGTCAGGCATATCGTTCCAGAGCCTAAATAGCAGAATAATAGTAGAAGAGAAGAAACAGAATAGTCATGAGGATGCAATAATTATAATTTGTAAAATTGTAAGCTAGGTTTTATCGACCCGTGCGAGTATTTTCCACTCATATTTACAAGTACAAAGAAAGCACTGGAATTTGAATAAAAAATGTCTACCATTACCAGACTATGGTCAAGTTTTGTCCATGAAACAACTTTCACTCTAAGTCATAAACTTCGTCTAAGTCATAAACTTCGTAGTGGTTGGCGGGTGCTCTGGTGCGGTTTGCTCCTTCATTCCTGTTAAACATCTAACGTCCTTATCTCTGTTTGTTACTCTTTTATATTACTCTTTTATAACACTTTTTTTAAAGGCCCCATTGACACACAATCTCGATCATTTAGGAAGAGCGCTTCTGACCCTACCCGTCAGAGCCAACTCAGGCTGAGAGGGATACAACATCCCAGCAGAAAGACCGAGACACTCAATAAAAATTTCTACGAGAAACCTTAGTTGACCAAAACAAACAAAACAACCATTGAAGTGACCTACGGTTAAGGAGGATTTGTTTCTTTTGTCATCGTCTTTGTAGTACTTGTGGTTGTTGTTTTATTATCTTTGTTGTGGTCGTTGTTTTTGTTGTCTTTGTTTTTGTGGTTGTTTTTGTTTTCTTTTTGCTTGTCTTTGTTGCTGTTATTATTGTTGTTGCTTTGTTTTGTAAATATATTTTTGTTTTGTTTTTAACCAACAGGCCCAACCAAAGCATCGCCGAAAAGGCACTCCAAGATGGTCGAAAAAAATGAAGAAGAAAGCGGTGCTCAGAGGAGTGGTGGATAAACTATGGGAGAGGCAGGAGAGATTGACAGAAGAGAGGAAAGAAAACCAGGTGGAATGGACAGAGGGGAACGGAGAGCCTGTACCGGGGACCAAGTGGCAGAGAGAGAACAATCTCGAGGAGATTAAGATGTACGCAGAGAGAGCCGACTACTCTTTGGTAACACATCGCCTTGTTTTTTTTTTGTTGGGGGGGGGGTTGTTTGTTTTGGTGTGTGTGTGTGTGTGTGTGTGTGTGTGTGTGTGTGTGTGTGTGTGTGTGTATGTGTGTCTGTGTTCATTTGTTGCTTTCTATAAGACACCACTTTCTTTGTATATTGTTTTGTTTGTTTTAATGGGCCAACTAGTTAGTAAAGAACTTTATTAATTCTTTACTATTTTTGCTGTTGTATTTGTTTGCATAACTTGGCATTTTACCTAAAAATTAAAAAAAACCCAAAGAAACCCCCAAACACTTTAAAAAACGACCCCAACCAAACAACACTTAATTGGTTGTTTTTGTTTGTTTGTGTTTGTCAGTTTGACAAAGCGGTTGACTACTCTGTGGAAATAGAAGAACTTTGTTTATTTGTTTGTTTTGTTTTGGTTGTTTTTTTTTATCATACAGGAAGCACACAAAAACAATAACTGTCTAATAGATAAATGAAAATATAAGACAGAAAGAGATGCAGACATGGCGCCTACTCTTTGGTAACACATTGCTCTTTTTCTTTTTTTTTGGGGGGGGGTGTTTTTTTTTGTGTGTGTTTATTTGTTCGTTTCTATAAGACACCGCTTTGTTTGTATATTGTTTTGTTTGTTTTAATGGGCCAACTGTTTAGTAAAAACAGCACTTTATTAATTGTTTACAATTTTTGCTGCTGTATTTGTTTGCACAACTTAGCATAAAAAAAAACAATAAACAATCAAACAAAAAACCAGCAAACAACAGCATTTTATATTGATTGATTTTTGTTCCCGTATTTTGTGTGTTTTGTTTGTTTGATAAAGCGGTTTACTAGCCTTTGGTAAAAGAAGAACTTGGTTTATAATTTTTTTAGTTTGTTTTGTTTGTGATATTTATGGTACAGTGAAGCACGTGAAAACAATAAGTGTCAATAGGGAAATGAAATGGTAAAACAGAGAGAAACCCCCACCCTTTTTACAAGGACCTTCTGGATAATACTTATGCGTTTCTGATTCCAGGAATGTGACCAACAAGCAGAAAAACAAGACGCGAACAAGAAAAACCAAACGACCAACCCTGCCAAACACCGGAGAAAGGGAGAGAAACCCTCCCGTGTGACAACCCCAAATGTCGCTGCCCTGTACGGCCCTGGAGTACCTCCCCCTGACAAACGCCAAAAACAAGGACCTCCGACCCACCAGTCATCGGCCGACCCCATCGACCTGGAGATCCGACCTCCCCCCAGCTCGGAGGTCCCACCTACCCCCAAACTAGCGGTGTCTACCCTACCTCCCCCAAGCTCGGAAGTCCCACCTACCCCCAAACTAGCCAAGGCAATCTCATCTTCCCCCGGGGTAAGTAACCCGAATGACCAACATTTTGAAGATTTTCAAACCTGACAGGTAATGAAAAGCAAAGTGACCCAACAACCCACCCCCAGCTTTTTTGTGTGTCCCTCTAAGAAACATACAAACGAACAAACAAACAACCAACCAAACAAACAAACAAAACTCCAATCAATCAACCATATAGTCAATCCACTCGCCATCTACCCTCGATAATGAAAAAAACAAACCTAACTTATTTTTAAAGTCCTAATAAACCTATTCCTCTTTTTTTTAAAGCAAAAACAAAAACCCGCCTCTCCCTCTTAATTATGATAATATAATTTTTTTTAAATTAAAAAAAAACAAAAACTTGTTATGTCCACCCCTGCCACCCCCAGCCCAGCCCCAGTAAGAAAATCCTTTAATTCACCTGTATGTAACTATGTAACTATTTGGTATCTCCCCCCCCTCTCTCCCCTCTCCCCCCTTTTCCTCCCAACAGTCCCACGCCCCAACAACAGCGACAACAGACTGGGTCCATCCGGAGGAAAATCTCAGTGATGTCATCAGCCGACGGGAAGTGTCGTCCACCCCTCCTCCCTTGGACAAGAAGGTAAAGCAGAGAGATTCGAAGTTTGTTATGTACACGTGGAAAGAAAGAAGTAAACAAGAACAGAGATGCAGGAAGAAAAACATCATAATAATGATAATGATGATATTAATAATAATACAATAATGATTATAATAATAATAATTTTAAAAAGTGATAATAATAATACAAAAAATAATACATTATACAATAGAAATAAAAATAACAATAATACAAAAAATAATACATTATACAATAGAAATAAAAATAACAATAATAATAATAATAATAATAATAACGTTAGAGGATGTGTTAGTCGACAAGTTTTCTTTCCATCAACCAAACAACCAGGTATAGGTACAGGGACAAACTTGTCCACAATCTACTCTCACTTGTCAGAGTTACTCCAAACGGAGGCGGGCTGCTGCCGTAGAAATGTAAGCAACTTAAGATAAACATTCCTTGACAAAGTCAATTTAAGAAAAAAAGTCAACAAAAGTTTCCTCTCCAACAAACAGCCACAGAGTCATCTGAAAGTCCACACGTGGAAGAATTGTTCCCTAAGGAGGCGAGCTGCTGCCGTATAATAAGTAACCTTCGAGAAAACTTCGTTAACAAAATCAAGCAAAACAAAACAACGTTTGAAGTGAGCTACGGTTAAGGAGGCTTTTTATTTTCCTTTTGTCGTCGTCGCTGTTGTTGTGGTTGTTGTTTTTGTAGTCTTTATTGCCTGTGTTGTTGTTGTTATCGTTGTTATTATTGTTGCTTTGTTTTGTAAAATATTTTTTTGTTTTTAACCAACAGGCCCAACCAAAACATCGCCGAAAAGACTTTCCAAGAGTGTCCGAAAAAATGAGGAAGGAAGCGGTGCTCAGAAAAGTGGTGGATAAACTAAGGGAGAACGTGGAGAGATTGACAGAAGAGAGGAAAAAACCCCGGGTGGGATGGACCAAGCGGCAGAGAAAGAACAATCTGAAGCAGATTAAGAAGTACGCAGAGAATGCCGACTACTCTTTGGTAACACATCGCCCTTTTTCTTTTGGTTGGGGGGGGGGGGTGTTTGTTTTGATTTGTTTGTTTGTATATGTGTGTGTGTGTGTGTGTGTGTGTGTTTGTTCATTTGTTACTTTCTATAAGACACCACTTTCTTTGTATATTGTTTTGTTTGTTTTAATGGGCCAACTATTCAGTAAAGCACTTTATTAATTCTTTACAATTTTTGCTGTTGTATTTGTTTGCATGGCTTGGCATTTTACCAAAAGAGCAACAACAATCACAACAACAACAACAACAACAACAACAACAAAAGCCACAGCAAAAAAACTACCCCAACAAAACAACACTTTAATTGGTTGTTTTGTTTGTTTGTGTTTGTCAGTTTGACAAAGCGGTTGACTACTCTGTGGAAATAGAAGAACTTTGTTTATAATTTGTTTTGTTTTGCTTTTTTATCATACAGAAAGCACACGAAAACAATAACTGTCTAATAAATAAATGAAAATATAAGACAGAAAGAGACACTCCCACACTTTTTACAAGGACCTTCTGGATAATATTTATGTGTTTCTGATTCCAGGAATGTGACCAACAAGCAGAAAAACAAGATGCGAAAAAGAAAAACCGAACGACCAACCCTGCCAAACGCCGGAGAAAGGGAGAGAAACCCTCCCGAGTGAGAACCCCAAATGTCGCTGCCCTGGACGGCCCCGGAGTACCTCCCCCTGACAAACGCCAAAAACAAGGACCCCCGACACATCAGTCATCGGCCGACCCCATCGACCGGGAGATCCAACCTCCCCCCAGCTCGGAGGTCCCACCTACCCCCAAACTAGCAGTGTCTACCCTACCTCCCCCCAGCTCGGAAGTCCCACCTACCCCCAAACTAGCAGTGTCTACCCTAGCTCCCCCCAGCTCGGAAGTCCCACCTACCCCCCAACTAGCCAAGGCGATCTCATCTTCCCACGAGGTAAGTAACCTGCATGTTCAAAATTTTGAAGATTTTCAAACCTGACAGAAAATGAAAAGCAAAATGAATCGAACTTCATTTAGTCACAGAGTTACTAAATGTACAAGTTGTAGTCCCAGCAATAAACCACCAACAGCTTTCTGTGTGCCTTCCAACAAACAAATAAACAAAGCAAGCAAGCAAGCAACCAACCAACAAACCCTCAACTAATCAACCAAATCACCCACCCCCTTCATTCTCTCGCTGATAACGAAAATAGAAACCCAAACTCCCCTTCCCCATAAATAAATCAAAACAAAAACCTAAACAAATTTGTTTTTAAATGTCCATGCCTCCCCCTCTTGTTAATGATTATAGTAACTGCCATGATAAATAAAACGTACAACTTTCTTCACTCTACAATCAGCTTGCCAAGACTAAGGAAACGATTCCTCGAAAGAAGCCCACCAAAGCAAGGAAGGGTCCTCAGCGAAATAGACGGCCACACTGGACGAACTCGGCACCCCATGTATTACCAATATTTGAGGAATGCGAAGAAAAGAGACATTTTGTGGAACGCGGAGTGTTTATGGTGAGTCTTTAGATTTCGTAAGAGTTTTACAGCACTTGCGACACAATTAGATCATTCAAGTGCAGGAGATTAGAAGTAGTGTTACGGGAGAATAGCATACAATTTCTTTTTGAAGAAGAAGAAGAAGAAGAAGAAGAAGAAGAAGAAGAAGAAGAAGAAGAAGATTTGTTCCGAAAATATTATGTAAAGAGGTGAGAGGAGATAAGTTATTATCATCGCTCTCTTGAGAACTGTTACCAAAAAGTGGAATAAAATTATTGTGGTACTCAAGAAAATCCCTCATATAGCATTTTTCATATCATCATCATCATCATCATCATCATCATCATCATCATCATCATCATCATCATCATCATCATCATCATCATCATCATCATCATCATACATGATGTTGTTACGTAAATTTTCTCGTACCGTTACAGCCGCCAGACGCCCCCACATCTGAAGAAGAACAAAAAAAGCTGGTGGAACAGCTCCTAAGTCTGTACGATAACAGCAATCTGCCCCCGGTGCCAGAAGGAATGAGATCAGACCTTCTGTTCCTGCGTTATTACCCACAGATGAAGACCCTCATCCGGGTAAGTACAAAGTCTCTCTCTCTCTCTCTCCCTCCTTCTCTCTCTCTCTCCTCTCTCTCTCTCTCTCTCTCTCTCTCTCTCTCTCTCTCTCTCTCTCTCTCATTTTTGGAAGTTTTTGAGTAAAGACTGAAGAATATGGTATAGTAATTAGGTGCTCCGCTATTGCAGTCAGGAGACTAGAGTTCAATTCCCCAGTAGAAAGAATTCTTTATTGAGTGTCCAGGTCTCAGCAGAGCCTGAAGCCTGGCTCTTTAAGAACTAAATTGTGTCGCTGGTAGTGTAAAAACACCTACCTAAACATCTTGTTTTGTTTTTTCCTCACAGGTTCTGAAGGCCGAGCCAGGCAGGGAGATCAAGCTCAAAGATAATTGCTGGTTTCTGTGTTTCGAGAACTTTCAGATGGTGAGCAAGTCAGAACAGGAACAACTTATCAAGCCCCACATCTTGACGACAGGTTGGTGCTGGGCAAGGGGGGGGGATTGAGAGAGAATGAAAGAGAGGGTGAGGGAGAGAGAGAGAAAGAGAAAGAAAAGGGGAGGGAGAGAGAAAGAGAAAGAAAGGGGGAGGGAGAGAGAAAGGAGGGGATAGGAGGGAGAGACAGATGTGAGCGGGGCAGCGAATGAAGAATGCATTATCCTATTTATCTAACACGCTTCCTTTTACAAGAAACACCTTCCCCCCAACCCCCTTCCCCGCCACCCCCAAGAAAAACATTCCTCCACCTGCACACCCAAAACAAAACAAAGTTTTTAAACCATTTTGAAAAGACATAAAGGAAACAAAGATACAGTATAATAATAATGTATGTAAATGAAATAAACAACTATTATTTTTGAATATCTGTGTCACCAACACCAGATACAGAAAGGAACAATTAAGTAAATAAGTAAACCAATATTTCTTAACATCTATATCACCAGCTGAGAACAAGTTTGCCTGCAAGTTTTGCGCCGACAGTGACGTAGATGGAGGGACCACCAACAGAACTTATTTCAACAAAGACAAAGACATCAAACGACACATCGCCAGTCACCTGGAGGAGCAGTTCTATGTGTGTTGTTTCTGTGACTCACAGAACAACTGTGTTACCGACTTAAGAAGACATGCAACTGGACACACAGGTAAATATTCTTCATCGCTGTCTTCCTCCTTATCATCGTCATTATTCCCATAATTGGAAAAACAATTCTTTGAAAAAGGTCTGGGGGAATTTTCAAATTAGCTTCATCAATTTTCGAACAATTTTTATCCTTATCATTTTCACAAACAGACAGCAAAATTTCGTTAGACGAGTAAGTTTAGAATTTTTCATACATGCAAGATACATTGACGCCATGTGATACCATTACAAATGTACGTGTATTGTTGCACAAAACTACTGTTGTTGTGTCAATGTGTTCCTCTTTACTTAATCAAATCCCCCATCCCTCAATCTCTCTCCATTTCTCTCTCTCTCCATTTCTCTCTCTCTCTCTCTCTCTCTCTCTCTCTCTCTCTCTCTCTCTCTCTTTTTCACACACACACACACACACACACACACACACACACACACACACACACACACACACATACACATACACACACACACACTCTCTCTCTCTCTCTCTCTCTCTCTCAATCAACTTTGACTCTAATTTAATCCCCCCCCC